CCCCAAAACCCCAAAACCCCAAAACCCCAAAACCCCAGTTGGTATTTATTGACAATAATTTGATAATTTGAAATACATAATACAAAATGAATTCAGTCATTGTAAATGAAAAGAATATTGATGATTTAAATAGGGAAAAAAGGAAGAAATAAAGGAAAAAGAGCATAAAAATCTAGACCTTCTTTTTAGAAAATATTAGGTGGAAATGAGGAAAGTACAGGAGCAAGAAACTAAGCTTTAGAAGATGAGCGAAGATGAAAAAAGAAGAGATGAGCATCTAAAAAAAAGAAAAGAAGCCTGGGAAGAAAAACTTAAGAAAAAGCAGGAAAATGTATGCAAAAAGATTACCAAATTATAAATGCCATAATATTTTATAGGAGGAGCTTTTGAAGATGCAAAGAGATTTAAAGAAATAAAAAGAAGATGAATTATTGAAAAATAACAAGAAATATAACAGTGAAGGTGATACTTTGAGATAGTAAAGCAGCAAGATCCTTGGAGTTAATGATGATAAGAAATTAAAGGATTTTGAGTATTAGAGAAAGATTGAGGAAGCAAAGAAGAAGAACTCAGATTTTCTTGAACAATAAAGATAGTTTCAAGAGTAAAAATAAAGAGAATTAGATGAAAGAGAAAATAAATTGAAAGAAATTTAGGAGTAAAAGAGAAAGGAATAAGAGCTTAGAAATAAAGAATAGAGGGAGTTACATGATGAAAAATTAAGATAAAAATAACTGAAGGCTTAAGAATATGAGAATAGAAAGAAGAGCGAGATTGAGAACAAATTAAAAAAGAATGATGAGAAACTAAAGTACTTTGAGGATGAAAAAAACTAATAAAAGCAAGAAAAACTAAGGTTAGCGAAAGAAAAAGAAGAAGAAATTCGTAGAGCTTAAGAGTTGAAAGATCAATTAATCTAGTAAAAAACAGGAAAAGTATTGAAATAGCTAGAATAAGGTGATTACAGAGTGCAAAAGATAAAAGAAGACAAAGAAAAGCAGATATGAGATAAAGAATTGGCTAAATAAGAATTAAAAAGAGAAAAAGACTATTAAAGACATTTGCAGCAAGTGGATCAAAATTAAAGAATCGCGTAACTTGAAACTAAAATTAAGGACAAGGAATAAAGAGGTAAGAATGCAGAGAAATATAAGATTGAGCTTGTTAAACAAAGGAAAGAGTAGGAGAGATTTGTAAAATAGCAACTGCTTGATAAAAACATGAGTAGGATAAAGTAGCAAAGAGAAGAAGAAGCAAATAAAGTTTTGTAAAAAATATAATTAGTTGAAGAAAGACTAGTAAACATAGAAAATTCGAACTTTCTTATTGATAAAAAGGCAAGAGAAGATGAAAAGAAGAGGAAATTGAGGGATGCCTTTGAATAAAAAGATATAAACTAGAAAAAATTAGAGGAGATATAAGAATAAAAGAAAAGAGAAATTGAAGAAAAAGAGAGAAAAATATAGGAGTAAGTTGAGAGAAGAAAGAGGGAACTATAAGATTAGATGAGAGAAAAGTAGTAATTACTGAACGAGAAATTAAGGGAAAAGTAAGAAAAGAAAAGTGAACTAGTAAATATGAAAAAATCTGAAATTGACAGCTCTATTTAAAATGCTGAGTAAAGGAAAAAAGCTTTTGAGGAGGAAAGAGAACGTCGAATTTAAGAAGAAAGAGAAAAGGCAAAGATTAAATAATAAGAAATTGAGAAGCTATAAAAAGATATGCACTAAAGGGAAAATGAAAAGAAACAGAGAATACTAAGTTCGATGGACGAAGCAGATTATAGACTAAAAAAATTAGAAGAAGAAAAGAAAGAGAAAATGAGATAAAAGAAAGAATAAGATATGATAAAGAGAATGGATAGAGATCGACAGATCTAGTCTGCAATGGAGCTAAAGTAGAAATAAATGCAAGATGTACAAAGTAAACTTGAAAACATGAATTAGAATATAAGCAGAGTATTAAAATAAAAGGAAGATCAGATAAAAGAGAAAAAGATGAGGGAAGAATTTGAAAGACAGTAAAAGATGTTTGGTAAATCTAGAGCCAACGAAATGAAGGAAAAAGATAATGAAAAACTTCTAGAAAAAATGAGAGAAAAAGAGGATAGGTATAAAAAGCTTAAATTGGAGAAAGAAGAGTATTCAAAATTCTATGGAGACTTGAAAAAGGAATTAGCAATAAAGAAGAGTAGTTATGAAGGGGAAATTCAGAAAAAGGTTAAGAACATTTGAAAAAAGATAACAACTTGGAAAATATAGCTAAGAAAACTTGTTAATTTGATTGATATACTATTAACTTTAATAACTTTAATTATAAATACAATTAGTCAAATGAGCGATTCAGAATTTGATGATGATGACTTTATCGATGAAGATGACGATTTCTCAGATGAAGAGGAGGATGAAGATTCTATTGAGGATGACGATGACTCAGAGGAAGTAGAGAGAAAAAGTAAGAAGAGAAGTCTTAATAAACTAGAGACTAAAATAGCAATGCAAGGTTAGGTCAAGATGAATAAAAAATCTAAACCATCAGCTGCTCCTAAAAAGAAACGAGAAGAAAAGAAAGAATCTAAGGATGTTAAGAAGGATTAAAAGGGTCCAAAAGAGCCAAAAGTATCAAAGGAACATAAGGAACCAAAGGAGCCAAAAGAAGCTAAAAAACAAAAAGCTCCTAAAGAACCAAAGCCTGAAGTTGAAAAAGTAGTAAAAAAAACTTAGAAAGAATTAAAGGAAGAGAAGAAAGAGGAAGATAGATTGAATGATCTTGCTGAGGACAAAATTTACTTTTATAAAAAATTAAATGATGAGGAGAAAATTAGAGCCTAGGCAGATATATAGGAATTTGTTCTATAGATTCTTGACTCAAAAGATGTGCCTCTTCAAGTATTATCTGATTTGGTATTGAGAAATAATTTAGCGAATCCCAAAGCAAACTCTGATTTTCTAATTAATGAGTAAATCAATATCTTTTTTATAAATATAATAATAGGTTAAGATAAGAATTTACAAAGCATGAAGTATAAGCCGATTTATGCTTCAAACTTTTCGAGCAATTGACTCAAACAATATATTAACTCAAGCCAAGCATTTTGCAGACTATGTTTTTCCCTAATAGAGATAATGAAAAAAGACTAGCAGCTGTTTTAAGAAAAGCCAAAAAATCACTAGATATTTGTGTTTTTGCTTTTACAAATGATAGGTTAAGAGATGCAATTATTACCGCCTTTAACAAGTAAAATTAATTATCTTATAAAGATTTAGTGGCGCTAAAGTTAGAATAATTAGTGATGATGAATGTTCAAAGTTCATGGGCGCTGATATTTATTAATTAGGATTGCTCGGAATTCCATGTACAATGGATGACAATTAGAAAGTCCATATGCACAATAAATTCGCAATTGTTGACAAAATAGTATTAGTGACTGGTTCATTTAACTGGACTTCATAGGCTGTCAATTAAAATCAGGAAAATTTAATAGTCATTGAAAATGCTTAGCTGATCGATGCTTATTAATAGGAATATGATATGCTTTGGGAGCAATTTTCTGTTAATAGATTAACAAAGGAAGCTTGTGTTTAGAGATTAGAAGAAGAAGAGAAAACAAAAGTACTGAGAGTAGAGAAAATGAATGAGGCAAGAAAATAAAAACAGGCTGAAAAAAACAACAACAAATGAATTATAAAAATGTCATAAATCATCTTTAATTTCATTATTTATTGATCATGGGGTTTTGGGGTTTTGGGG